GTGGGACTCGGACTCTGTGGGACCTGGACTCTGTGGGACTTGGACTCTGTGGGACCTGGACTCTGTGGGACTCGGACTCTGTGGGACTCGGACTCTGTGGGACTCTGTGGGACTCGGACTCTGTGGGACTTGGACTGTGGGACTCTGTGGGACTTTGACTCTGTGGGACCTGGACTCGGTGGGACTCGGACTCTGTGGGACCTGGACTCTGTGGGACTTGGACTCTGTGGGACCTGGACTCTGTGGGACTCGGACTCTGTGGGACTCGGACTCTGTGGGACTTGGACTCTGTGGGACCTGGACTCTGTGGGACTCGGACTCTGTGGGACCTGGACTCTGTGGGACTCGGACTCTGTGGGACCTGGTCTGACTGTGTTTGTGGCTCTGTGTGTGTTCATGTGGATTATCAGTCTGTGTGAGACACATCGAGTTAAAGCAGGACAGTTCAGGTTCTGGACCCGACCTAGTTCAGGTCTAACAGTCACTCTTCCACAGTTTGATGGTTTTGTCGTTTTCCAGCGCGGCGGAGGCGATGATGTTTTCTGTTGGATGACAGGCGGTGGAGATCACAACGTCTGCACGGAGACAAACACAGCGAGATTAAAACAGCTTCTTCACTTCCTGTACGGTGAACTAGAACCGCACAGACAGCGGGAGAGATCCAGGTCGCAGCGCCAAGACCAGAACACATTCACTTCAGAACCACCACCGACTGGACCGGCACCGCGGTGGGGACGAAGAACTGTTCATTAGTCAGACACACCTACAAAGAGCTACGACATCAATTCCTGTTTCAAATGCACGCCACAGGAAGTTGTTCAAGACAAAGTCAGAGACTAGAGGACAAAGTCAGACTAGAGGACAAAGTCAGACTAGAGGTCAAAGTCAGACTAGAGGACAAAGTCAGAGACTAGAGGACAAAGTCAGACTAGAGGACAAAGTCAGACTAGAGGACAAAGTCAGAGACTAGAGGACAAAGTCAGAGACTAGAGGACAAAGTCAGAGACTAGAGGACAAAGTCAGACTAGAGGACAAAGTCAGAGACTAGAGGACAAAGTCAGACTAGAGGTCAAAGTCAGAGACTAGAGGACAAAGTCAGACTAGAGGACAAAGTCAGAGACTAGAGGTCAAAGTCAGAGACTAGAGGACAAAGTCAGACTAGAGGACAAAGTCAGAGACTAGAGGACAAAGTCAGAGACTAGAGGACAAAGTCAGACTAGAGGACAAAGTCAGACTAGAGGTCAAAGTCAGAGACTAGAGGACAAAGTCAGACTAGAGGACAAAGTCAGAGACTAGAGGACAAAGTCAGAGACTAGAGGACAAAGTCAGAGACTAGAGGACAAAGTCAGAGACTAGAGGACAAAGTCAGACTAGAGGACAAAGTCAGAGACTAGAGGACAAAGTCAGACTAGAGGACAAAGTCAGAGACGAGAGGACAGCAGCTGAAGTCAGAGTTGAGAGGTCAAAGGTCATACCTGTGTGTCCTTGTAGTTTCTGAACGATCTCTTTGGTCTGAAGGTTCCAGATGTAGACCATGCTGTCCTCAGAGCCCGACACAATCCACTGAAACACAGAGGTCAACGGTCAGAGCGGGGACCCTCAGAGACACAGAGGTCAACGGTCAGAGCGGGGACCCTCAGAGACACAGAGGTCAAAGGTCAGCTCGTTCCTACCTTCCCTCCTGTCACTGAGAAGTTGGCGAAGATGCAGTACTTCTCATTCTTATGGCCGCTGTACGTCTTCAAACACTGAGAGACAGACAGACAGAGAGACAGGGTTATACTACTGAAGACAGACAGAGAGAGAGAGAGAGAGACAGGCTGACAGACAGACAGACTGACAGAGAGAGAGAGAGACAGGCTGACAGACAGACAGACAGAGAGAGAGAGAGACAGGCTGACAGAGAGAGAGAGAGAGAGACACAGACAGAGAGAGAGAGAGAGAGACAGGCTGACAGAGAGAGAGAGACAGGCTGACAGAGAGAGAGAGAGAGAGAGAGACAGGCTGACAGAGAGAGAGAGAGAGAGAGACAGGCTGACAGACAGACAGAGAGAGAGAGAGAGAGAGACAGGCTGACAGACAGACAGAGAGAGAGAGAGAGAGAGACAGGCTGACAGGACAGAGAGAGAGAGAGAGAGAGAGAGACAGGCTGACAGAGACAGACAGACAGACAGACAGAGAGAGAGAGAGAGAGAGAGAGACAGGCTGACAGAGAGAGACAGACAGACAGACAGACAGACAGACAGTACCTTTCCTTTGCTGTAGTCCCAGAGCTTCAGTGTGCTGTGAACCAGAGAATACACAGTTATCTGATAGATGGCTGATGTGTTGTTATGGGTTCATAGTGATAGCTAATGGCTAATGGAGCTCGGTGTCACTCCTGTACTGGACTCAGGTGGGAGGTTATTCTGACTCTGAATGAAACGCACCAGAACTACAAACTATGAATGGATGAAGAACAGAAATCTTTCAACAGAAGCTTCAACCATAAAACTGAAGCTACAGCCGCTAACAGAGCGCTCTTCCTCTTCCTCTTCCTTCATCTTTCCGGCTGATACTCACTTATCCAGAGTAGCAGCGAGGATGTATTTTCCATTGGGAGAAAACTTAACGAAAGACACCGGAGGATTGTCGTCATCTGTGGAGAGACACAGGTCATATTATTGTTATTATTGTTGTGTGTCTGTACAGTGTCAATAAAGTTGTG